CGAATAACTAGAGGGTAGGTCTATGGATACAATGGACCCACTGTGAGAGAATTTGGGCCAGGGCATCACATGACCTTCCACATCCTCACTCTAACTGGGAGGGTGGGGGCCACAATGGCATGCTGGGTCCCTTATCATCAGTTTTAGCCTAGAACTCATATCTAAGAGTGCACACATACAGTTATTCTGGGAAGTAGCCACAGATCCCTTTGGGGAAGGACTGGAAGAATATTGATTTCTCCCAGGGAAGCAATAGTTCCTGGGTCTGTGAACTGACTTAACTCTGGAAACTGTAGGAGGAACAGTGATTTTGTGTTGCAGCAGTTGACATTGGCCTCTGCTCATCAGATCTCCACTTTTTCTGTTTTGAAATCAGATTACACCCTAGCCAGCTACCCATTTATCTTACTCGCCCCCCAGGAATACTATGGCCTAACGGGCATTACCATCAACCTCTGAGGCCATCCTTGTTGCCACGCCAGTTGCTGCCTGTTATGTTAACACATCTTTCTCATCTCTGACCAAAGTGATTCTTGCTTTGTGGGAATCCTGTCACATCTATTTACTAGAGAGCCTAGTTCTATGCAGCATTTTCTAGTGTCAATCCAGGCCACTGGGAGACAGTGGCCACTGAGCTTCTTAAAAGTGCTAATGCCTCTGTCATCAGTGGATTTTTATTGCCTTAGGAAAGAAGCCTCCTTCATGCATTTCCAGGGAAGCTGTCACGCTTGTGGTGGGTTCTCTGGTCTCACACAGTGAGTCCTTCTTACATTCCCACTTCCCTGGCTCTCCTGACTCTTCCTCCACATGCTGCCAAGGCAGGCCCAGTGTCTCAACTTCATTTGCTGAAGGCTATTGTTGAGCGAAAGTTTGGAGGAGCCATTCCAGCAGTAAGTACAACTGGCTGTACCTGAGTTTAGCAGGATATTAAACTCCGAGTCAGGGGAGAGTGCTTCTACATCAATAAACTCTCCCAACGCAGCCTTATATTCTTCTTGTCACTTTTCCCTGCCCCAAACTTTCGAGATACTGGGGCATTTGCTCCCTAGTTTCTATTAGTACATATTAGCCAGTTCTTGAAATTATTTGAGTTATGTGGACTCTTCCTTCCTAAAGTAAGGACTCTATATCCCTGTTCTGTTCAAACTGAAGCTGGACCCTGGTTATTGTTCTGGAGGCGATCAGGGAAGATGGAGGCAGATCTTGGAGAGGACAAGAATCATCCTGCAAAGGTTTATGTCAAGGGTTGGCCAACTACAGTCCGAGGACCAAATCTGGCCCACCACCTGTTTTTCGAAATAAAGTTTTATTGGAACACTTCCATGCTCATTTGTTTATATATTGCCTAGAGCTGCTTTCAGACTAAAACAACGAAGCTGAAAAGTTGTGATAGAGGCTGTATGGTCTGCAAAGTCTAGAACATTTGTTACCTGGCTCCTGACAGGAAACGTTTGCTCACTTCTGCTTTGTCCGAGAGCCAATGGGTAGTAGTCCATTGAGGATTTATGCTATCTGTCTAAGAAAACTTACAAAGAAGAGAGGAATTAGGTGGGCAAGGAAGTGGGGCATGCACTGGTAGAGAACTAGACTGGTTTTTTTTCACCCTTCCAGCCCTGCCATTTACTAACTGTGAGATCTTGGGCAAGTCATTCAGAGTACTAGTTCCTAACCTTCCTGCTTTAGAAAGTTGTTGGAAAGATCAAATAAGACAATGGACATAAAACCACCTGGCAAACTGCAATGTGCTATAAAAATGGGAGGTATCATTTTTCGCTCCTCAATATCCTGACCTTCCAACCCACAGCAAGGGAAAAATTCTTCATCTGTAATGATGTAAGAATGTTTATGTGTGAAATCCCTCTCTGCTCATATCACTCTACAGAGATCTTCCTTATGCAGGTTTAGTTTGCAGGCCCTGCTTAGAGGGCTGGAACACCCAGTTCCCTTTGCCAGGCTGGGTTGCACCTTCTGCTTCTGCCAGTCCCAGTTCCTTCCATCTGATGCACGAGTCACCCATGGGCTTTTCAGAGACCTATAGCATCTATGACCTGAGTGCTGAGGAGCAGTTTTGAGCTTAAGACACTGACTCCCGAGGTGGTCAGAGCCATAGGGCATCTGCAAAGAGGTGATATTTAAAGCTGTAAGAGGAATTTTAATGACATCATTTGAAGGAGAAAGGAGAAGTCAGCCCCAGAGAGAAACTTCAGGGGTGCCTAAATGTAAGTAAGTGAGAGGAGGAAAGAATTGAGCCACAGAGACAGAGGAGTGGGAAGAGAGGTGTGGGGAGAATTCAGAGAGAATGGCCTCTGGAAGTCAGAAACCCAGGGTCCAGATCTGGAATGGTCAGTTCTGTGCTGTGTGGCTTTGCATAAATCACTTGACCTCTAGGCTTTCATTTTTCTCACCTTTAAAATGCAAGTGGTGAGAATTCCTGCCTCCCAGGTTTGTGAGATTCAAAAGAGGAAGGGCATAGAAGTACCACATGAAGTATTTTAAAGGCATAGCATCTTTCCCAGGGCAGGGAAGAAGGGCCCACGGCTTCTCTTTATTCACATTGTTATCTCACTGTCAATCTCTCTTTTGGTTTCTGTAATTACATTGTCCTAATACAACTTAAATTAGAAAGATACAAGAAAACTCGACTCAATATAGATTTCTTTGTTAATTCAAGTATAGAACTTCTCTCAAAAGCTTGATTCCGTGATTGCTTTTTCCTGAAGCCTATAACCTGCATTACTAAGAAGGCAACAAGAAGTCGTTAATGCCTGGCAACACATTTCCAACTGCACGATGCATCCTATAAGGACAGGTACAGTCTGCAAGTGCAGAGAGAGACTTTTCTTGGTGAGCAGAGGTTCATTTGAGGCACTACTTTGGAACACTCCTTCTCAGTTCAATTTGGCACTTTCAGATATTCAGTGCCCATCTTCCAACCAAAGGACATCCTCACAAATTTCTATAGATAAAACCATTATAGGAAATCAATGTGCTCCTGCATTTTCCATTATAACATAGCCGCAATGCCCCAGATATAGGCAGGGGAACCAAGAGGTAATGATTGGAGGTAGGGCGAGGGAGGATCTGTATTCCGTTTGCAAAGTCACAAACACTGCTCAGAGTTCATGCAAATAGGCTCACTAACATTAATTTGCTGGGCAATTGTTTCCCAGTGTGAGCCTTAATTTCTTCATGTGTAAAATAAGGTCGTTGGAATAGATTTCTTATACATCTCTTTTAAAAAGAATATTCTGTGTTCTTTATTGAGCATTCAACCAAACAAAAGCACTTTGTCTGAATGTTGTCCTCAGCCTTCTGCTTTTATTAGAAAGTTTTGGTTCGCATTGTAAGAAAAGAATGTCTTTGGTTTGTCTGGAGCCGGCTGACAGCTATGTATTATGGGTGAAATTTTGTTAATAGTGAAGAGGCCAAGGTTCTAGTTTGGCTGCAGCAGACAACTTGCCATGTGACTGTAGATTAATCATTTTGCTGTTCTGAGCCCAATTTTCCTGAACTGTAAAATAAGCTAGAGGATACATAAGAAATTGGTAACCTTAGTTGCCCCTATGGAGGGATAAACTAATTACCTGAAGTTCCATTTTAGGAAATTTTGCGCTGAGTTTAGATAAGAGGTATACTCCATTGGATTGGTACTTTTCACTATACCCTATGCTCCTTTCATACTCGATGAATTTTACACTGCACACATATACCACCTATTCATTAAGTAAATAATTGTTTAAAATGAAAATAAGTTCATAGGCCTAGGAGGTTTATATATTTCCTTCCAGAAACATAGCCCATAATTCTATATGCTGAGAATGGTTTATAGTGTTCCCTTTCTTTATCAGCCTCATGGTTAAATAAACAAGACTTTAAATATTTCAGATTCATAGAAAACTAGGTAAAATGACAAATAAAGCAACACATTCTAATTCAGGATATTAATAATTGTGAAAAGACTCAATTTTTCCCATCGGAATGAAGCATCCGTTCCTTATTACTGACAGTATAGGAGAGGGTGACGCTGTCATCTAATTGCATCTTCCTAACTGGGGAGAGCACTTGGAGGGGCAACTGTGATGTGGCCAGGAAAAGAGCACAACTATCACAAAGACAGCCAGCATGCCATGCAGGATGTTCACTGCAACTGGATGAAAATTGGTTTAGTTAATACAATAAATTCCATCACTAGCTTAATTTAACAGGAAATGACTGCTATTTGGGACCTACAAAATATTGCTCGAAGATTTCCCATAGGTGTTTAAGCTCTAAATTGTAGAAAAAAATATAATATAAGATATGTGTGAAATATATATATGTATATATAGATGCATATATATGAATAATATCCCAGGATAAAGGAAAAATAAAATTATGCAAGTTGGCAGCAACCTCTCAGAAGCAATGATTTGCAAGTGCTTCAATCTAAATTATAATTTCCCAAGTCTATCACAATAAATTTCCAGAAACATTTCCTGCCTTTTTAATGAAAATATATTGACAGGAATGTCACATCTATACCATAGTGTTTTATGTGTCTTTTGACCCCTGATGTCAAAGCATTCTCTTTATATTTGTCTTACTGATTTGTAACCTGAGAACAAGAAACATGTTGGTTGCTCATAATTAGCAATAGCAAAGAAACTTTCAGAATTCCGGAACTGATCATTTTATTTAATCACTTATTTTATTTAAGGTATGCAGGAAGAAATAGTTGTAGAGCTATTAGGTAACTCACCTGGGGTCACACAGCCATCCAAGGGAAAAGCAGGAACTAGAGCCTGTTCAAGATATCTTATGGTTCCCAAGAGCTCCCCATTTCTGGCACGTGAATGTGTAACCTTTCTGGCCAGGGGAGGATAAATTAGGGCCAGCGATAAAGGTAGATTCTTCCACAAAGGGGCTAGGCAATAGAGAATGCAAATAGAAGGCTTTATCCTGGGCAGTTCATGGTTCCAAATTTTATCCTTTAAATCTTTTTATCTTTTTGAACAAGGATGAGATTCAGAGGAGCTTATTGGAAGGAGCTGGACAAGATGGCCGACTATACGCAGCCAGGTGGAACACCTGCCACTGAGGGACTGGGACGACTGGCACCCTCCTAACAGATCTTCAGCAAGGAGGCACTGAGAGTGGGTGGAGGGAAGACACAGAAGCTACACTGAAGTGGGAGGAAGCCGCTGCATGGGGCTACCATGCACTGGGACTAGCTCCTGGCCCCCAATGACTCCAGGGGAACAGGTGAGTTAAACTGGCAAGGAACAACCTGCTTTCACCACAGGCCTCTGGTATCCCGGCAAGAGGAGACCCCTTGACCACCACAGACACTTGAGTTGGCAGGGAGAACTGCTTGGAGAAGTGGTAGGGGCAGCACTTCAGCCTGGGTGGAGCCCAGAGGGTTTGGTGTGGGAGCATTTGCAGTGAAGCATAGCCAGGGGCAGCCATCCCTTTAGGCTCAACTTGCTGCCATAGCAGACTTTAACACTAGGGAAACCAGTCAAACTAAATTCTTCAGGGTGGTCTTGCCTGGCATTTGAGGCCAATTCAACAACCTGAGCACCCCCTGGTTTTCTGGCCTCTCCTGGAGCCCCAGCCTGGCCATGCCTGCTTGCATTGCAGCCTTGGGTAGCCCTGGGGGCCCGCATCACAGCTCCTGCACTGGCAAACATGGTGTGGTTTTCCAGTGCAGAAGCTGTGATGCGGACCCCCCGGGCTCCCCAAAGCAGAAAGCTCCAGCAGAGCAACCCCTGTGGACATGCACCAGCCCACCCACTTCCTTCCTCTACTGCAGTTTCTGCTGGGCCCACGACCACCCCCCGAGTCACTGCTGGTGCACGTGTGAGCAGGCAGATCTTGCCTTCTCTGCCCTGCCAGTGTGCATGTGTGCATGTGCCCTGCCCTACCACTGCTGCTGGTGTAAGTGAACTCAGCCTCCTCCTCCCCACACCATGCCATCATTGCAGTCAAAGCCTTGGCAGGCACAGAGCCCACCAACCTCACCTTCACCAGTGCCTTGCCCCTGCACTAACACTGCTGCTGGAGTGAAACTAGGTAGGGAGAACAGTGGACCTTACCACACCCTAAGCAGCTACTCCTGCCTGCATGAACTCACACAGAGGGTGTACGCAGATCAGCACCTGCCAGTCTCCCGCTCCCATGCTAACACCACTACCAGTGGGACAGCATGCAAAGTTGCCATTGGGGGTGGGGGCCCACCTTCCCATGCCATGCTGCCTCCACTGCTGCTGCCAATGGCCACATGGAGGCTGGCACCTGGGTACCCACTAGCACCCTACTGTAGCCAATGAGCATGCACCCTGCTGCACTGCCACTGCGACTACCACTGGCACATGTGAATGAGGACAGATCCCACTGCCACTGCCCTACAAAACACTTTGGCTGGCACCACCCATTGGAGAGTTGTGACCAGCAGTCAGCGAGCACCTTGGCTGCACCCAGCACAGTGGGTTCCTAACTTGAGGAGCCAGAGAACAAAGTTGGGCCTGATACCAATCCCCTAGGGTTAGAGTATGCAGTCCAGGAGTTGGAAGCCTAGCCTTGGCTCCCTGAAATTTTCCAGAAATGAAGCCAGTCATTTGAACTCATAACACAAGGAAACCCTCAAGGTCATCAAACAGGATACAAGAGAGAAAAAAAAAAACAAAACATCCCAAGGACAGCAACTTCAAAGACTGAAGGAACATCAGTCTACAAACATGAGAAAGACCCAGAGCAAGAACTCTGAAAACACACAAAAAAACAGAGTACCTTCTTTCTCCAAATGACCACACTAGCTCTCCAGCCAGGGTTCTGAACCTGCACATGTATCCTTAAACTTAAAAGTTTTTTAAAAAAGGATTCAGAGAAGGACTGTAGCTGTGGACCCAAGCTCCCTTCAAAGCACTGGCAGGTCAATCGTTTGCAACACAGACAGCTATATATAGAGCTCTGTGATCCACCCAATTATTGGCTCATCAAGGAGTGTGACACATGCCGGATGCTCTGTAGAACCCAACAGAGGGGTTACTGCTCCATGGAAACAACCAAGAAGCTTTGATCGAAGAGCCTGTGTTGATTCCTTCAGTGAACTTCTTGATTGAAATAATCACCTTCTTAAAATAAACACACAGTGAGGTTTGAAGACGGGGCATTGCCATCCAGGTAAGGAACACTGACCTTGTCTCAATTTAGTAGCACTGAAGGTATGTTCATTTGAACATAGATCATGTGCTAGGTACTGGGAGGATATAGAGATGAGCATGAGAATAAACTTTATGTAGCTCTTGTTCAAGCAGGAACTTTACAATCTAGTTAGGATAAAGAATTATCTGTGAGTCTTGGATGGACAGTATGTATCCCAGCACTGTCTAGGGGCAAGGATGCCCTCATACCAACCTTGTCATGGCTGTGCTAAGTGGCAGGTCTGATTTGGTTATAGAACTGGATACATCAGACTGTTTTAACTTTATGCTGTTAAATATTTGAGCGTATCACTGTGCACTGTGATGGATATTAATTGTTTATGGCTGTCTAGCACCTATTCCACCTTCTGCTGAAAATGGCAGCCATTTACTTCTCTTCTATGGGATACCGTCTAGGGGGAGGTGGGGTATGTATTTAATTAGATCTTGCCTTTGTCTGGTTGTGAGATAGTGCACACTAGGCTATTGATCCACCATTCCCTGAATGTTAATGATAAGGGAAGAAGCAAAGGGACCAAAAATGCGGGGACCCCAGCATTTGTTGCTGTCAGATATTTGCTATATGCTATTCTGGGGTTTCCTGCCTTCCTTTCTCTCCTGGAAGCAATACTATGTCCTTCCTATAACTTCTCTTTTAATTCAAGCTAGCCAGTTTCAGATTCTGTGAGTGCATGCAAAGAGCCCTAATATATAGGTTAAGATCCCTGTGTACTGAATTCCTCCTACCAAGCAACCTTCTACTTACATGCATGTTTTCAATCTTTCTATTCCCACGAACATGGCACACAAAAAATGCTCAATGATTGTTGCGGAACAAATGGATGAGTAAACCACAAGTACAGAAAAGCAATGATGTGTCACGATATGTGATGTAGTCACAGTTGAAACTATGAAGAGGACAGAAAGCTGTAGGTAAGAGGCAAACCAGGGGAGATGCTAAGGTGGAAGTGTAGCTGTAGCTCAGTTTTGATGGCTAAATACGGTTTGAATGGACGGACAGGGAGGTTGAGGTATGGGGATAAGAATGAGGATGGTATAGCTAAAGAGAAGGCAGTTTTAGCGTGGTTGGAGATATATAGGTGACCTCCTTGGACTAGTCACCTAAATTTCATAAATAATTATTAAGAACCTACTGTGTGCCTGTAATGTGCCTAGAGGGGCACTTGGGTTCAGAGATGAGTAAGACCCAATCAAACTCGGGTGGGATGGGGGAATTAACCTGGAGTATGCAGATAATTATAGCTCAAAGCATAATGCAGTGAGCACTTCAAGATGGGTACAAACCAGCACCCTAGGGTCCTCAAGGGGTTTGCATCTTGAGCATGTCCAATCTGTGATAAAATACAGAGCTTTCCAGCAAGGTTAAGAAAAGACAGTCACAAATTTTAACAATGGGCCTGTGTTCAGCGACCATAGGTTGAATCTTTGAGGTTGCCCATGTCAAGATAAGGAATAAACAGTGATGCCATGTTGGGTTCCTCATGCAGATGTGGGAAACCCAATGAAGTGTCAGGATAAGCTTCACATGGGGGAAAGCCCTACAGGCCTCCAGGGTGAGGGACCCTGTTGAGTAGGACAGAGTGTGAAAGCACAGGGTGCTCACGGGGAACCAAGAGTTGCTGTTAGTCTGGAATAGGGACAGGCACACCCAGAGATTGACAGGCACCTACTGGGAAGGTCGTGACTTCAGGGCTGAGGAGTCCTGCATTAACAATGTTGGCCATAGGGAGCCACAGGTCAGTGGCTGGATAAGACGATGTGTCATTTCTAATAAGGCAATAAATGTGCCTTCTCAACATCCTCCAAAGCAGGAAGGAGCTATTACCCAACTTGGACCTTATAATCTTATTTGCAATTTCTTGACCATATTTGTTAATCTGATATCAGGAGGATGTTACTATTTTTCTGCCAAGGGTGGCTGAATTCTTTTGAACTTGCAGACCAAAATTGGTAGTAGTCGTGGCAAAACCTTTGCACCATGGACCTAGTTTTGGGAAATTATGTGATGAATTTGGATGAGGACTCTACTTGATTGGATTGTGAACAGAGACAACTTACAGAGGGTGCATTCAGGCCAGGTTCCTTAGGGCTGGCTGGATCTTTCCCTCCACATCACTCTAGGGGCTCACGTCTAAGTCTGTCAAAGCCATAACAAAAGCAGCACTCCCAGAAAAGGTCAAGAAGCATGAAACAGAAATTTTAATTACAGGCCTGTATGCTGAGAACATAGAGACCTGGAGATAGCTCAGGGGTTTAACGAACAAAATTCCCATGGTGTGGCAGGAAAGCTTTTTTTTGGGTGTGTAGTAAGGTAATACTTTTAAAAAATTATAGAAAAAATCATCAACTATTACTTTCCCTTCCGCTCCATACCTTCCAATTCTTGTTCATATACCAAGGTAGATATTTTCTTTGTTGCAATGGTAATACACAGTATATGATTCCTTTGCAGTTTTTGTTCACATAGCATATCTTAAATTTGTTTCTCTTTCAGATATTAATTTCATTTTAGTGGCCGAGGAACACACAATCTTAGTGAATATAGCATGCTTTTCAAAATTCTTTTCTTAACACTGGAAACTTGTTTCTATCATAGCTAAAGCTGCCACAGACACCACTATGGACAGCTTTCGGAAAATATCTCTCTTGGCTTCCTATGCTGCCTTTTTATGAATCAGTCTCAAAATTCTCAGTTCAGCCCTGAATTGGCAGCTGGTGTGGAAATTTCTCACCTGGCACATCTGGAAAAGAGGGGCTGGTTTGTGATCGAACAGATTTCTTGGTCAAAAATATTGGCCAGCCAGGATCCACGGCCCATTATGAGAAATTCCCAGCTTGCCAGTTCTGTGATCTCTTTCCAGGAGTCGTAAGTCTCATCTTATCAGAACAGAACCACTTCATTAATAATGGCAATCCAGTCTGATCGGGCTATTTTCTTTAGCTTCATGATAGTGTATAGATCTTCAAACATCTTGTGGAGTTCCATCTCTTCAAGGCAAAACAGGGTTGAGGGGGAAACTCATTATGCAAATAATCTGAGATATTGAAGGGCGTTAGAACAGCAAATGGGAAAAGTGAGACTAAATCTAAAATAAACCCCTGAATCTGAGTGCCACAAATTCACAGCAGTCAGCGAGGCAGGCCGAGATCATGGTGGTTGGCTGAGGAACACTGTGGTTCTACCTTCTTAGCTTTCAAGAATACCCAGTCTCTAGGACCATTGACTCCCAATCATCATATGGTAAAAGAGGCCATGAGTATCCAATGCGACCCCTGCCCCTCCTCTCATCATCTTCACTATATCCATTTGGACACAGGGGAGGCCTGTGACACCAGCTGACAATGAGCCCTTTCCCCAGGGGATCTGGAAAATCTCTACCCTCCCAGGGATTTATAAAGTTTTCCTTTAGGCAGACAGCTGCTGGACATCACAAGTGCAATACAGGTATCGTGAGCTCACCTGGCTTTGTCCGCCCACAGAGAGGGTCAACAGGCTCCAACACAGGCAGGTACTCTGTCCAAGTTCACTTCTTGGCAGGAGGCTGCTTTCATCTTTTCTGCCCACTCAAACGTAGGGATTTGAGTTGCAAATATTGCCAGGTTCACACAGTTCAATTATATCTCCTTAACAATCACAAGAATGTAGAATACACAGTTTAGGAAGCTGTTAACGTAAGCATCTGTCTATTAAATTGCAGATAGTTCCAGGCATCATTGCAGGATAAGTCTTATTAACCAAGGTTAATAATCCTTTCTAATCAGCACAGTATTTTTCCCCTAGGGATGGGCTTAGAAATCATCTATGGCACTTGTAAAATATGTGGATCCTGAAGACGGGCTTCTCTTCCAAAGCTGCAGGTCTTCCTGCTGAAATGGTTTGTTAGTGTCTGACTTTGTGTGGTAAACGCCACTTGAAAGGGCTTCCTCCTTCATTAATTGGAGATCTCCTCCCTGGCCATCTCCTGTGTCTTCCATCAGCTTCCCTGCACCCTTTTTATGAGGCTGCAGCAGCTGTGGTTAGAAATCATCTGTTTGCTGCTGCAGGACCAGAGTTTCTCTGTTTTACTGTTTGATCCCCTCTGCAGTGTGCGCTGTTCACTCTTCCATCTTTTAAAGTATGGAGCAAACACACAGCAGGGCCAAAGGGAAAGCAGCCAGCCTTAGAGTCGTCAAGAGGCCTGACCATCAGGCTATTTGGTTTGATGCTCTGGATTAAAAACTGGTTCCTGGTGGATACAAAAGCACATGTTGGAAATGCTTGCAGAGACTTGAAAAATAGCTGCTTCTTAAGGATTTTGAACACTGACTTGGCCCTGCTGTTGACACTGTTTATCTGCACTTTCCATGAAGCCACGTTTTTACTAAGTGAAGATAAACTTTGGTCCAGTTATGGAATTATCATGCATTCTAAATGAGTGTCATCTAAGTTAATGAGGTTTTACTGTAATGCGGAGTGCAAATACAAGGACTGGGAAAAGGTAGAATTAATCATGTGATTCTCCTTGGAGATAAAGGATGGTAAGGCTGTGAGTTGTTTATGGGAATCTGAGTAGAAAGCCCCACTGCTTTGATCACACACAGCTGCATTTAAGGCAGAAATGTGGAATTGTAGACTAGAGAGAAATTTAAAGATCTTGCCCAGATCTTCCATTTATAGGTTAAAAAAAATGAAATCAGAGAGGTGAAATGCTTGTTCGAAGTCACAGAGCAAAGCTATTAAGAACTAAAAATAAAAGTTATTTAAGTAAGATGTTTAGGTGTAAACTGTCTTTTAAAAACACTGCTGTGAAGATTGCTTTAGTCCTAAGGCTTTAGCATGGTTTCGCAGTCCCCTGCACCCACTCTGCCTATCCACAAACTCCACAGAAATGATATAAAATAATGTTTTATAAGCTAGTCACCCTTGTAAACCACATTGGTTACTCTCAGTGTTGAATCTGGGATGGGTCCTTGAAAGAT